CTTGCTTCTTCCACGAAATCTTTGTATCTTCTTCACTGACTTCCTTCTTCCACAGAACGTAATCTTTGTATCTTCTTCACTGCTTTGCTTCTTCCATTAGTCTTTGTATCTTCTTCACTGACTTGCTTCTTCCATTAGTCTTTGTATCTTCTTCACCTACTTGCTTCTTCCACAGAACGTAATCTTCGTATCTTCTTCACTGACTTGCTTCTTAAAGTGACTTGATGATTATCTCACTTCTATTTTCTAACTGTGAGACTGTCAACTTCGTCATTGATGTTACTATTTTCTCCCTCAACATTTCTAAAACCATTTTATTACTTAAAGTTTGATTTTCCTTTCCAGAAATAGAAACAATCCTTCTTATTAACGGATTTTATTTTTAAAATCTGCTACGGATCATGAATATCCTGTGTTAACCAAGATGCCACATCTGATACACGCTAATTATCTGTTACACACTAAGCCTAAATTTAAAGCCGTGACGCACTCTTCAGAAATATAACCGTTGATTACCCATTGCCGTGAGTAGGTGTAAACGCTCTTTATAACGGATTAGAAATAAGTTTGAAGAAAAAAAATCGCACGTGAATAACCGAGCATGTTTTATATAAATTACGAAATATTTAAATTTCAGTTGGTTAGTTACACTAAACAATAATCGTTTATGAAAACGCGAACTGTAATTTATGCACTCTGTGTTTTAACGTTATACATCAGTTATTTCCGTGCAGAGTTGTAGTGAATTACCGCTGGCACCGTTTATGAAAGGTGATTGGTGTGTTTCACGAGTTTTTGATCGTTGCCACATCACACTGTTTTCTAACAGCAGTGTTCAAGAAATATAAATAAAACAAAAAACACTGCTTTATAATTCAAGAAGAAAAGCAACATTTTGTACTAACATCATAAAACCACTTGGTAAAAGCTGTTATAAGACTGAAATATTAATATATTATTATCTCACGAAGTTTCAATAAAGATAGCACGGTAAAATATATTATTATTATTTTGTAAAATACTAAATCATTGTGTAATAGGAAGTAATAATAATAATCAGTAATGTTACTCTGTTTTTACTACCCTGATTGTATATAATTTTTAATCCAATCAAATTTCGCACGTTAGAACTTATCAGCAATATATATATAAATCACTTTTTTTACACACGTCTTTCAACAAATGTTAGGCCTACAATACTTTTCCACCTTTTGGCGTACAAAAGTAACTTAAAAATGTTTTTTTTTTGTTTTTTTTTTAATGGAATAGTACCACCTCAGTGGGTTGTGGAGCCAAGCAACAGTTCCGTCATTCTCGGCCAGTCCATTGTCATTGATTGCACTGCTGAGGGGTTTCCTCCCCCTCATGTAACGTGGAAGAAAGCCTCAGGTACTTTGAATAATATAGTATTAACAGAAAGAAATAGAGTAGCCTAAAATGCTATGAAATTTCTAATATTTTAAGTTTGATTTATGCGTGTGTGTTTAAGATTAGATAATTGAATTTTAATGCAAACATTCTGTTTCTTTTCATATATTTTTTTCAGGATGCTTGAAAAATACAACAACAAAAATCACTACACAGTTTCTATTAAAAGAATTAGCTCATGGGATCACACACAAAAAGATGCAAAGAATTTAAAAAAAAAGACCCAAAAACTCTAGTGCTTTCGAATATTTGATTATTTTTCTTCAGGAGAATAAACAATAAAGAAGAAGAATCAACTAATGGGAAGCGTGAGTTTTGGTGTTATTTTTTAACTTCACTACACGGCTTAATATTGTTAAGATGACACTATCAGGTGATTCTATTTGTTTTAAAATATTATATTTGGAATTTGTTAATTAAATTAAAAGAGTTATGGTAACGCTTTTCCAAGGGTTGTGCCCTTTGACAATAATTGTTTGGAAAACGAGTTCAAGGGTAAAGACAACGGAAATAAGATAAATCAAAATTGAAAGTTTCTAAAGTTCAAGATACTGGAACTTTTTAGATTTGTACAAATAAGAGCTGGTCACTTGTTATCTACCGGTTAAGTTCGTCTACTGGATCAGACTGAAATTAATATGTTTTTTCATGAATCTTTTTATGAGAAAAATCAATAAAGCTTTTTAAAAATATTTTGATAACGGTTTCACATGATTTGATCCACTGCAGTGATGGTCGAACTGTTTTCTCAACTCACCTCATTCCTGGATAATTTTTTTTGAACAAGAAATTGGAGTCTAACTGGTCTTTTTAATGGAAGGACAAAAAAAAAAACAACTGGAAATTAACTAGCTATTTTACTAAAGGAAATGAAACTGGAAACTAATTAATCTACTTACAAAAAAAAGAAGAAACTGGAGACTAATTGGTCTCTAAAAGAAAAGAAGAAACTGGAGACTAATTGAGAAACTTGAGTGAGGAAGCATATTATGCTAATATAATAAGTTGGGAAACAACGATGTAAGAGTATAATAAAGTGATTTATTTTTGGTGAAACATACTATATGTTTCTACAGAACATTGATCTGTCTTCTTCCCCAAAATAAATCACTTTATTATGCTTATAAATCGTTGTTTACTAACTCATTATCGCCAAATGAAAAGAAACTGTATGCTAATTAGCTTTTTAGCCAAAGGAGAAGAAACTGTACGCTAATTGATCTCCTGAATGTTCTAGTTTAAAAAGTTAATGGTGATTTCCAGATTCACTTTTTATAAAAAGCTGAAAACAAATTATTTATATGAACTGAATTATAGGTCATCTGAGAAAGTCAACTTTACTGAGTTTTGTAACAATGTAGTTCCAATTAAATTATTCATAAATTAGAAACTGTGTAAATCAGCTCTTATTTAAAGCGGTGGATTTCTCCAAGACTTCTTTAATCAGCATTTCGAAATTATCGGAAGTTTCAAAAAAGAATCTGGAAAGATGTTAGGAAGAATATTGTTTGAGTGTCTTGTCGGGAATAATTTTCAGTCAACATTATATAAAATATGCAGTTTGTGAACTGGTTGAAATGTTGTTTACTCAATGACGAAAACTAGTTAATAAGAATATTTTCACTTTCCATCTCTCCCTTCATCGAACATGCTCGCCCTTTCAGTCGTGGGGGCGTTATAATGTTACAATCAATCCCACAATTCGTTGGTAACCAGTAGCCAAAGAGTTGGCGGCGAATGGGGTTGACTTCCCCCAAGTTTGCCACCCAGTGGTTCAGCATTAAGCCTAGAAACTCCAAACTTATCACTGAGCCACCGAGGAGGTCATCAGATGACTCAATAAGTTTGTCTCAGTTCAGTGAAAGCAACAGCAGATGTGAAGTAATCCAGTTTCTTTGCTCTAAGACTCGTAAAGTCTTTGTCTACAAGTTTCTATTTAAATCTTGAATTGTTCGTAATTGCCTAACTTCTTGCTCGAATTGGATATTTAAGTGTCCACTCAGGAGCAAAAACTTTTTATTTGGATTCCTACGTGATTTCTAAGAAAGCAGGCCACACTCACTTTGGAAAACATAAGATGTCTGTTTTTATGGCCCAATCAATTTTCTTCAGAGATTTTCTGAGGGATGTTTGTGAAAACAGTACTGAATAATGGAAAGGTTATTTCCGTATAAATAATTCATTTTACTATTTGGAGACAAAACTAGATGCCTTCACGAACACAGATTAACAAAGGACTAGAGTTAAAATAGTAAAATGCAGATTTTTAAAACAGAAATCGATCAAACAATCAAGTTGTTGAGTCAAACTTCCGCTCTTTCAATACACACATCCATATATATATATATATATGCCTTTAAAAATAAATTTTAACTCGTATTGTCAGCTATCTAAGGACACTATAACTTCATCTAAATATCTTATCATGCCTAAATGAATTGCGACGAATTTTTTCCCTTAACGTTAACACTATAGAAGTAAAGTAATCAATAACTTAAGCTCTTTCAACATACAAATATATCAGACATGGGAACAAAAGTAAATTGTTTAAAATACATTTTATTTTAGGCTATTATGATGGGTTCTAACCATCTATTTTTATTGTTGAAGACAATGCTAGGAAGTGCAATACAAATCTGTACCTGTTTTTATTGTTGAAGACAATGTAAAGAAGTGCTAATGGATACCTATACCTGTTCTTATTGTTGAAGGCAATGTTAAGAAGTGCAATTGATACTTATGCCTGTTTTTATTGTTGAAGAAAATGTTAGGAAGTGCAGTGGATACCTATACCTGTTTTATTGTTGAAGACAATGTTAAGAAGTGCAACTGATACTTATGCCTGTTTTTATTGTTGAAGACAATGTAAAGAAGTGCAATGGATACCTATGCCTGTTTTTATTGTTGAAGGCAATGTTAAGAAGTGTAATGGATACCTATGCCTGTTTTTATTGTTGAAGACAATGTTAAGAAGTTTAATGGATCCCTATGCCTGTTTTTATCGTTGGAGACAATGTTAAGAAGTGCAGTGGATACCTATACCTGTTTTTATTGTTGAAGACAATGTTAAGAAGTGCAGTGGATCCCTATACCTGTTTTTATTGTTGATAACAATGTTAAGAAGTACTATACAGATCTTTACCGGTTTTTATTGTTGAAGACGAAAGTCCTTTATATTTGTATTTCTACAACAGGGAGTTGCCGTCCATTGAACTAAATTTCATCATGATCACTCTGCCTAAACAATCTACCAAAGATCAAACTATCATTATCGTTGCTTTCACATAATGATTTTTGCACCTAAATTCTAACAAGGCTTGATACTGTAGTCTTATGCATTTCATAAAATTCGTGATAAAAACTGGCGTTTAAACCCTAACTTCTTTAAAACTTTATACTGCATAGATATAAACAGCGTTTCCGAAAATTTGTAGTTTCTTATTGTTCAGTTTAACTTATGAATTCTAGTATTGACGAAAAAGCTCTTGAGCAGCGAATTGTGAGAGACAAAATTTAGATCTAAAATACCACATTTAAACGTCTCTGATTTGGAACCCGAAATTGAGGAAAGAAGAAGGTGGAAAAAAAATGACATCTGCAGTTTACGTGATTTTTATCACAATTTTTAATGCTATTAGTTTTTAATGCTTCGCCAGCTTTCGGCTGTTAAATCGTAACCCTCATAAATCAATCACAAGAGTAATTTGAAAATTGGTTTAATTAAATACGGAAATTAAGTTAACCTTCTCGCTCGTATTTATTACGTGAATTTTATTGAATGTCTCTGTGAGGTTAATAATTAGAAAACTTTTTAGGTACAACAACAAGGTTAACGATTAGAAAACTTTTTAGGTCCAACAAACTCCAAAAGCTTGGAGATGACAGACTAATTAACCTTTTGATGACATTATTAAAAGTAGTAATTACCTAAATTATGAGTTATTTATCTATCTGTCAACTTTTAAACGGTTATCCTGATAGCTATTCTTTCACGAATCTTAGAGTTGAAAAAATTTTTTGCTTCATTTATTACGTGGTAATCTTTATAAAACCCCATTGGGTATAGAATAAAAAGCTCCTTTGATGCCAGTTCCCAAAGGATATTGTTGGTTTATACATCTTCAATAAGAACAACTGAAAGATTTTCTTTAAAGTTTGATCCTCTAGAGCTGAAAAAAATAATGTTTTCTTCTACTTCATTGCATCATCTACTTGCAAAGGACGTTTAAAAGCCCCGTGTGTCGTAATCTAATGGGCAGATTACGAGCTGAGTTTTTCAATCCCCTAACTAACGAACAGAGCGTGTAATATTTATGCAACTGACTTAACTTTAAAAGTGGATGAGCGGTATGTGTTGCTCTCATCTTGAGTTCTTCTGAGCTGTTTGTAAGTATAATACAAAACTGATTACGGATTTTAATATATAAATTATTAAAAGGCAGTAACTCGGAAAATGTTCTGTTGACAGAAAACTTTTGTTACTAGTATGCCCTTATTGTAACTCTGGTACAGGCTTGTCTCTCCTGTACAAAAACATAAAAACTTTTGTTACTAGTATGCCCTTATTGTAACTCTGGTACAGGCTTGTCTCTCCTGTACAAAAACATAAAAACTTTTGTTACTAGTATGCCCTTATTGCAACTCTGGTACAGGCTTGTCTCTCCTGTACAAAAACATAAAAACTTTTGTTACTAGTATGCCCTTATTGCAACTCTGGTACAGGCTTGTCTCTCCTGTACAAAAACATAAAAACTTTTGTTACTAGTATGCCCTTATTGCAACTCTGGATCAGGCTTGTTATGTGTATTTTACCATTTTAATATATATAGTTTTAGAATTATATTAAAACGTTTTAGGCACTCTTTTTTTTTCTCTATCAGCTTGATTAATGGTGTTTTCTTTTCCTTGCGATTTCGCGATTGAGAGGACCCAGTACACAATAATGTTTTTATATTGCTATTTAAATGTGGTTCATGTATAATAATTGAGAGGACCAATACATATTAATGTGTTTATATTGTTATTTAAATGTGGTTCATGTATAATATTACTATTAAATTTAC